TCTGTCGTCCTAAGAAGACTGCCCAATGTTCCTGTATCTGTGGAAAATACGTGTTCTGTCGTGTTGGGATGACAGTCTCCCTGTGTCGTGTTGAGAAGACTGCCCGGTATCCCTAGCCCTGTGGTCTGTCGTGCAGATACGACAGTCCCTATGTGTCGTGCTAATGTCCCTAGCCCTGTGGTCTGTCGTGTGGATACGACAGTCCCCGTGTGTCCCTGTGCTATGTCGAGTGGAGATGACATTCCAGTGTCCCTATGTGTCACTATAGCTGTACAGCCCGAATACGAGTTCTGTCGTGTCCCTGTCCGTGTGTTCTATCGTGTGGGTATGACAGTCCCTATGTGTCGTGCTTATGTCCCTGCCCCTGTGCTCTGTCGAGTGAATATGACAGTGATGAATCGGTTTCCGGCGACCCACGCGTGTAAAACACGACAGTCTCTATTGAAGACTGTTCACTCCACAAACCGCACACAATATCCTACTACGGGAGATAACAACCACATAATATCTGGAGATAACATGTGCTCCACACTGTTTAACTCCACTTACATCGACATCATAGTTCTACAACTAGTAATGAAAAATCCTCGCCATTCTTGTTCAACCGAAAAAAAGCATAGTTCAAATATATTCGCGTACGAGACCTATGCATGAACAAAAGTAAACCGTTTACATGTTTAGCAAATGCCAAATGGCTTCTTTAGGTAGGTAAACCACTGGAGAGCAAAATTGTAAGAATAAGCCCCTTTCGTGGTGTTGATGTCGCCTTGTATGTGATGTGACCTATCTACGAATACAGACGTATAAGACGATGTATCAGCTTACTTCACAGGTGGTTTATAAGGAACTGACTGAACTTAAGAAGCGATGGAAGGAATTTTGACGTACTAGGCAGTTCAGTATGGATGAGATCTATATAAGAAGGTCAACTCATGCGACCTGTTAGTAACTTTAAATTTTGGAAATCCAGTAGCTTGCTTTTTTGGCGTATCTTATTACCTGGATGTCTAACCTTCACCGATGTTAGTGATAATAACATAGTACGTTGCATCTGAGTGGTGACTATTGTTATTCCATGTTCTATGTATTCTGTACCTACTAGATCTTTGCAGCCCCTGCTTCCTGGGTAAAGAATAAGCTGGGTTAAGTTTGTAGGTGGTTTACCTGAACTGAAATGACACACATTGGGAAGACCGCAAGGTTTTGACCTAAGCTAGATTTTAACTTAAACTTTCAGTTGTGGTAAGAATTGAGCATTATGGACTCACACTTATACGTGATAGATGTTTAAGACAATTTGAGCAGAGAAAAATTTTTCATGTCTAATTGTCCCCCTCACGAACACAACAGTCTGAATACTAAGTCTGGAGACGGGGGCCGGGAGGTCAACCGCTTTCTCCTGCCGTAAATCCTGGCCGCACCATTGGCGGGCAATCCGGCGGAAAATCGGCGCGTTTGGCGCGGATTCTGCTCGGGTGGACCCGGCAGGTCGGCCCGTCTGCTTGGCTGGGTGCTACCGGGGCGAGAGCGCGGGAAGCGCCGGGACGTAATGCGCTTATCCGCCTCGGATGTCACGGTGTGAAACGGGCTCATCTATCATCGACCACTTCATTAGAGATGGGCACCGGCTGTTTGTTTAGTTGTGAAAATGCACATTTAGGTAATGACCCAGGCACAAACCGCTCCTCGCAGGGTCTCTGCTGGCAGAGAACATCGCGAACTGAAGCGGGAGGATCGGGCGAGAGGCTCAGTCGGAGCCGGGAGAGCTAGGATGCCGGGCGCCCGACGGGGGGACGGGCAGGGAGAACATCGGCACGGTGTCCGTACCAACCCACAGCCTTCACCATGAGATGAACCTGGGCACCTCTCAGAGATACAACTCCAAAACCTTACCGGAATACCGTGAGACAACATCGCCACAGCGTCCTGTGCACCTCAGAGATATAACTTCAATCCTTGCTGACGAACCTTGGCACAGCGTCCGTACCAAACCCAAACCTTCACCGTGAGACAACCTGGGAACATCAGAGGTACCAACTCCAACACTTCCTGACGAACCTGGGCTCTGCAACAATACCAACCCGCGGCCGTGAGACAACCTGGGAACATCAGAGGTACAACTTCAACCCTTGCTGACGAGCCCACGCACAATGATACTAACCCACAGCCGTTACAGTGAGACAACCTGGCATGGGCACCTCACAGGTACAACTCCAAACCTTACCGGTATACACTGAGACGAACCTTTCATCTACTAGAATATACGCCAACCCTTGCATTGCGGAAACCTGGGCACCTCGGAGTTGTAACTACAAGCCCTGACGAGGCTAGGCACAACGTCGGCACACCCCCAACCTTACCTTCAGACGTCGGTACCACAACGTGGGTAGAACAACCTTTAGAGACAAATTTGGGCACAGCGTCGGTAAGAACTCCAAACCTTACTGCACGAAATACACAGAGGACTTCAGCAAGTCGCCGGCAATGGACAGGACAAAACTACCGACGAGAAAGACGCCAGAAGAGTCCAGGGAAAGTTCGGCGTGTTTACACGACAATCGGTGAATAACGAGATACGTGGCTCCAAAACTACCTTCCATGATTACGTCTTCTAGCTACGGACCAAACATTTACACAGAATAGGAAGTGTGTATGTTATGAAAACTCGTGCCTTATGGATAATTCGGGACGGTGAAGTGTATGAAGTTTGTGATAAACCCGAACCTCAACTTAAGACATGAACTTTTCACTATTCAAACAGCCAGCTGAGGTCGTTGTTGAAATATAGCGAACGACTAAAGGGAACAGTGCATGTTGTGCTCAAAACTGATGGAAGGAATACGGAATATATCGCACCAGGGACCAGGAGAAGGCATCGATCCTTGGTTACAATGCCCGGGTGTCCGAAACATTCTCAACTGCACCTCATCCAAGTGTTGTGGAAACCACGGCCCAAGCATTTGTGATCGTGTGAAGAAAAAAAAAACATCTCAAGGAGTAAAAAGGGTTACATCGGCGTGTTTTAGGACTTTGAGTCTTCAAAAAGTCTTCACAAGACACCGGCTCTCATCTCAGGTACGGTAGCGTCTGGGAAGAGTTCCTGACAGTTAAGATATTTCTAAAGAACATGATAGACCGTGACAACGGGCTGCAAATCAACGGCGTCTTTATCACAACCTATAGTCCAGAGAAATATACCACCAAAATTACTGCATCTTCTCATAACAAGACTTCGGTAGTCTGGAACTGACAGGATATGTTTCTTTCTTACTGATCTCAGCACTGCAAACCGCCAAGGGACTATGTACATTGTCATAGACTACGCAAAGACTATGTACATGGAAGACCTACCGGGACGACACAACTCTTCAGTCATCCAAGCCACTGTCTCCGAGGAATCCTGGACATAATCGGCTCCTTTGTCGCAGGAAATTCGGCAATTAGAGAGAAGATAGTCGACATATCTCAGGATCTTCAGAACACAAGTGCGAAGGCCACTGGGAGCAAGTTCTACACAGTCAACACAGAATTAACAAACCCTCTTTTCCTGGGTTATTACGGAATTTACCCACAGAAGGTTTAAAGGGTTGAAAATGAAGATACGACGTACAAAAAACAACAACAAAAACTACTACAACAACACAAATACAGGTACGTCCGCCCAACAGTATTGCCAACAGCCTTGCTACAGAGTGTCAGCAAAAAAGCATGTTTTCCTAGACACTTTTGGATGTCATATGTCAAATGTCTTGGTCTAGTTTTATACTGTCGTGGCCTATGATAGAAGACCCATTGTCTTCAGTTAGTTACAAGCCTCGGCAAAATGACAGAAAACGTTCCAATAACATCGTTAGCTGCGTTTCACTCACAAGCAGGTTAGTGGACTCCTTAACGTTGTTACGTTCTGCAAGATGATACCAAATCACAAGAAACAGAAACTTAAGACATTATGTGACATGTACGGAAAAATAATTATGTCTACATGAACTTGTATGACGACTACTGTCAACATATTCTATTCTATGCATAATTATTCAAACAACATTGCAATACAACGTCTGACATGCCACTGTTTTCAATAGCGATGGCCTCCATGTATAGAAAAAGATATTGTGTCTGAACAATGGCAAGAAAGCAATTTAGAACACAAAATTTCGTCCTTGCACGACTGAGTGTAGTGTATAACCACACCTACCCTGGGATACCACAGCAGAATCGCCATGTTCTGTGACAAATAAAAGGTCTGCCTCTCTATGAAAGACGCAAAGTCATCTTGTAACTCTCTACATTCATAATTTTATGTTTAAAAGGCACGCGCGACTATCCAGAAGTAACAGTTGTTATGAATTCAGAGATGTGGGCGAGCGACTAGCTAGGAGCCGGGACGTGGGCCAAAACTCGTCGGTACGGAAACGTCGCGTGGCCCGCCCGCATGCCGAGAACACCCCGGTCCTTCAGCCCGAGACACGGGGCAGGGCCACGAGGCAGGCATTGCAACAGGCGTCATAGATACAACAGAATAGAACTGTTAAGACATTAGCCAATACTGTACATTTCTAACAGTTGTTTTTATGTGTGTCCTTCAGGTAGACCTGGGAGGGTAGTTTGTGCTGCACGACCAGCCGTGGCGACAACTGAAATGCCGATACGATCGCCCTGCAGTCCACAGCTCGGGGCTGCCCCGACAGGCACGGAACATATACCTGCTCGGCAACTTTTTTCTCTCACGTTTAGGGCCGACATACGAGACTGTGCAGCGCCGACATGACGGTATGAGAACAGTGCTACTCCCGTACCGTACCGACCCGGGCGCCCCGGCGGGGGCAGGGCTCGACCCTCCCCGAGGACAGCCCGTCCGGAGCCCCGGTGACTGACAGGTGGGGGGGAGGTCCCGCCCCGGTCATTATTACACCCTTATCGCAGCAAATCACACACTCGGCGTATTTTGCGTGCTTACTGGAGTGGATATGCTTTTATATCTGGATTTGGACGGGATTTACCTTTCACGGAGGCCCTCAGCGGCGTGGAGAAGCCCTGGTCTTCAGCGATCAGAGGTGGAGGAGCCGGGACAAAGTCGTCCGGGGTCCCGAGAAGAGGCGGCGGGGCCGGGGAAAGTTTGCGCGAGGAGTTTTCTGCAGGGTGGACGTACTGCGGCCGGACCTGCCCGACTGACTGCACACAGAAGCCCGCCGGGGTGTGAATAAGGACGTTTAGCCCCGCCGACTGCCCTCCCAGCCATCCGCACATTAATTAGGCGCCAAAATCAAGAGGCTCGCAAGGAGGTTTGACAGGTTTATCTTACTACTCCTCATACAACCATTCCAAACCCCACTTACGGCATGTTTTTATTAAAAATCCAAACATCTACCAAGAACATAACACACTTTTCTGATAGAAAATTCTAAGTATGGTGAAATCGAACAATTCCAGGACCCTCATAAACCCCAAAACGGCCCCACAAAGGTTCAATGAACGTTTCGTCTTTCATTGACAGATACATTATAAAACTGGACCGTAAAAAAACTTAAGACAAAAAGACAACAGAAAAAACTCACGGAGAGGAACAATTATAGTATTATATGGGAGGTTTCTGTCATGATTTTGTATCAAACCCACAAATAACCAAAATAAAACGCAACACGTACAATTTGATACATTTATTTACTCGCCTTGGCCTTTGACCCTTGGCTGACAGTATAATTGCAGACGACAGCAGATCAGGGTTTATTATGCAACTCAGTACGTTCCATTGGTTACGTAATTACATAATAGATGTGTTTTTCTTACTTTCTATTGTAACTCGTAGTGTGACCTGTTAGTTTATCGAGACATTCATAATTGTTATGAATCGTGTTTTTCAACATTTCATGTGCTGTCTCTGAAGTTTCGAAAAGTAACTAGAAAGAATTATTATATTTTACTGGAGCTATGAATATCTATCCTTATAAAATGTTTGTATGCAGGCCTCAAATTTAAGTCTTCCATTTTTTTTCTGTCTCTGATTCAGACATTTACTGCAAAATGCACACAAAATGCGTGTATTTGTGGCTTAACGGATGTGTGTAAGTTTTTGCAATCTTAATTTAGAATGCATAAACTTATTTATTAAACTATTCAACAATAGTCAAACACTCACTTATTCATTTCTCTCTGAGAACCTAAAAGAAGACGTCTTCAAGCTAACTTGATTTTCTGACCAGGAAAAAACGAATGACTTTTAAAAGAAATTTGAACAGGTAAAGAGCATGTGAATTAGAGTGGGGAGGATAATATATTGTATTTGGAGAATACCTGTAAGGTAATACCTTACCCTTACCTTTACCTAGTCACTTCCTCATTTCCAACCAAGGGTTGGAGACTTTGGTACCTACTGTATGTCAATACAGCATATGGCTGCTGGGAAGTAAGAAAACTTTCTTTTTCTACTCTTAGCATCCAGAAATAAAAAAAAAAGTGTTATCGGGACTCCGTAAGATGTATTGTAGCTGCACAGCCCGGTGAGTTGCATAATACTACAACTCTGTAAGATGTATTATACTACACAACTGCCATGTTAAAGAGCCCATTCTGTACCAACTCGCCCTTTCAGCCCAGTCACAATAGAATTCCGGCAGGCTAAAAAACATCCATTCTGGGACAGGCACGATCTACCGGACTTACAATGCCGCCGGCGAGAATGCGCGAAATAGCCATCTTACAATACCACAACTGGAATGCTCGTTTACGTAGCCTGGATAGCAAATTCATTAGGAGACCTGCATATATTACTACTAAAATCAAAGAACCCACATATTATAGAAGAAGTGGGTAAATTCGTCTTCCATTGCCTAAAAAGAAGAAGTCAAACCCAGTAAAACTAGTACCATGTATGTTGTAGAATATAGTATAAAGTTAGACGTAGATATAGTCTCACATACCACTGTATTTTCTTTCTTATGTTGTTTGTAACCGCAATTAGCCCTCGGGCAAGTATTTGCAATAAACTTTCTAATTATTGCGGCACAGTAACTAGAGACTAACACTTGCCCAAACTATACACCTACATGTACAGGTATGATATACCAGAGACAGATTTGTCCCATCTATAATACTACAAGAAAATGTGCACGTATGACTCCAAAAGAACAGGTATGACACTACATATATATATACAGGTACAGGTATGGCAATACAAGTACATGTGCAGGTATGCATGCCTCTATAGGGATAGGTATATGTATATGACACAACAATGCAGGTACTCTGTATCTGTATAGCCGGTACGAGGTACAGTGCAGGTACGAGTATAGCACTACATGTACGTATACAAGAACAGGTATGACGCTACAAGTACGGGTACACAGGCACGGGTATGACAATGACATTTACAAGAACAGGTATGACACTGCAATACAGGTACAGGTATGACGCTACATGTACAAGAGCAAGTACAAGTATGGCATTGCAACAACAAGTATGACAGGACGAGTAAAAGAACAGGTAGGAAACTGAAGGGCAAATGTATGACACTACAATACAGCTACAGTACACTACAGGTAAAGGTATGACACTACAAGAAAAGGTACATGTATAATATATGCCGGCTGTCAAAGCTATACTGTCTGGACTCTCTCACGAACAGTGTGTTTGTCTTTGTTTTACTGCAGATGATTCAAAAGAGTTTCGGATTGTCAATTGTCAAGAATGTGAGCAGCAAGAGAATCTATCCAAGTTACATGTATCACGCCCAGACAACTAACGTATAAATGCTAAATGGAGATTTCGTTAACAGAGAGAGAAAGAAAAATCATAAAACATGCTCGCAAAAACCCTTTCCATAGAGCGTCTCTACACCTGAGACAAGGGACGGGTGAAACCTCAGGTGTTGCATTTCTCCTGCCAGGTGTTCCTCACCGTTCCAAATGCACCTGACGTTCTCACACTGTGAACACCTCAGTCAGGAGAGGGTCTTACATTACAACTTCCCTGTTTGTGTATTTTTATGTTTGTGTTCTATGTTTAACTTTGTGTATCCATATGGTAATTGTATTTTGTTGTGTTGCGCTTTTAAAATAGGTTATAAACTTGAGTGCAGCGCAACACTGTCTTAAAAAATGTTTTGTTGTGTATTGATGAATAAACAGACCCTGTTGCAGATGAGTGGCACAAAACCTGAAATTGTCTCTCAACTTTGACAGAATTTTTTTCATGAGTTAAGCTGTTATACATATCACTTGAGTATTCCGAAATGGAAAAACACTAAAGCACTAAATACAGTATTTATAATATTTCGCTTCCTCTTCTCTGCAAGCCTCTACCAGGCTTCATGAGGCGGCTGGAAAGAGTAGAAATCGGCCAAATAGAAAGATAACATGCCGGGGGAGTTGGTCTGCTAGAAAGAGTACAGTAGTGCGGCAAACTGTACTCTCTAGCAGACCAACTCCCCCGGCATGTTATCTTTCTATTTGGCCGATTTCTACTCTTTCCAGCCGCCTCCGGAAGCCTGGTAGGGCTACTTTTCTGCTATTCGGCAATATTTTTTTTGTCGACAGGGAAACAAAAGTCGCCGCCTGTGACGTCACACAGCCTAAGGAGCATGCCTGTCATACCTATCCCGTCATGCCCCGCTGCGCGCCTGATTGCGGTATCCCGTCATGCCCCACTGCGCCCCTAAATTGCGGCCATTTGATCTGTTTTGTAAGCAAACAGGGCCAGGTGCGACCCTGGGAACGAGATGAACAAAACTTAAGCCCGAGATCTTCTTGTCATGGATGACGTCTTCTGTAAACAACCAATCGGAGCACCGGAGCGAGAACACACAAACTTAGCACATTTTGTAATGTTGAATCATGGAGGTAGAAATGTTGAATGAATGAAGGATTTTTTAATGAATGGTTGGATAGCAAAGGTAGATAACAACCGTGGACTGAATTACATACCTTGTCACATTCCAGTATTGTACCCGGACGTACATATTAGCCATCAAACTTACATAAGACCATTTGTATGTATATATGTAGAAGCCTAAGAATCCATCTTTCCACATAGTCATAGACCAATTCTTATCAGCCCCCTGAGTTGTCTTCTAGGGCAGTTTTGAGTATATTAAAAAAAAAGTAGCATGACCTAGCATGACCGTAAAAGCTTCACAAATAAGAAAAACAATACCTCCATTTTTCATAAATACAAAGATACTTAAAGCCACTGGGATTAAAGAAACGTTTTTTTTTTTGTGCTAAAATTATGCAGCATTCCTGAAGTGAAAACTCTTTAAAAAAGTAGAAATGGTTGGCGCCCGTTTCTATCCTTTTGCCAGAAGCGGGCATTTAAGAGTTGACCTCTAACTTCTGACCTTTGTGCCGTGACGTAACTTCACGTCTCGATGCCGTCTAACGGGAGTTGTTTTGTTTTAATTTCCACGGAGACCCAAATAAGGAAATCCCCTCATCAGCCGTTTAACTCCCGGTTTTACACAAACATTTCTGCCGAAAGGGAACAGCGGCATCCCCAGAATTTATTTACCTTTCCTCTAATGCTATACAAGTATACAGTGACAAAATACATAACAAAAACAACAAAGAACAGCAAATGGGTGGAAATGGGTCAATACATGGTAAGGACGAACTTTGAAACTTTGAAACTTTATTTTCAATACAAACATGGCAGACAAAAGTCTGAATTGCGTTGGTATTTACAAACCATTGAGCTAGTTTTAGCCGTTGAGGCGAACATGTTTTGTAGGCTATGTGGGAGTTTAATATCGATAATGTAAGTTTGGGTGATTCTCAAAATGTTACAGTTTGTATCTGGGTGTAAATCGGGTGATCCTCTGAGTAAAATGTTACATAAGAATTGTTCAGACATGTTATGTACATCAAGGATAGAGCCTACCAAGTTCTGTAGATTGCTGAGTAGGGTAACTCTTTCCTAATTATAATGAAACTTTATTTGCAAAATCATGCCCGAAGGCTAATTGCTTTTACAATCAAGTATAATACTCGTTGCAATACAGTAACAGGAAACAGGTAATAATCTGTCTGAAAAAATTTCTACTTCTACTACTACTCTAGCTATTATGGGGCTCGACTTCTTCTTTGAAGGCAGCGGGCAGTGTAACAGAAAATCCCCAGAATTTATTTACCTTCCCGCTAAAGCCGGTACTACTGAACCGATGACATTCCTTTTGTTTTAATTTCCGCGGGCCGCTTTAGGAGACAAATCCCGAACCTCAGACTTCAAACGTGTGGAAAATGGAATAAGCCGGGATCTCTACTGGAGCGGGACGTCAAAACGGTAGCAGTGGACGGTGC